TCAACGCCACAAGCCGAGCCAACCAAGGCAACATAAGCCACAAGCCGAGCAGTCTCGCAACATGTGATAGTCAAGCATCATTTCAGATTGAGCACCGCCTTACATCGAACATCAGTTCAAGACAACATCTAGTTACTTCGGCCCACACATGGACTGAATTTCAAGTCTTCAGCCAAAATACTTTCTTGACTGAAGATTTGGGGGACTACTGTTTATACCATATTTAAGGCCTCGTATTTAGATCTCGTACAAATACTCGAGGGACTTAAATGTAATTATGTGATAAAGGAAGGGGTAAATATGTAATAAATGATGAGTCCTTATTCTATAAAATGACCCCTCACCCTCACAATTAGAGGAGACCATTTCTTAGGCCCTCTCACCCCCTCTCAAAGCTCTCACTCTCAGAGCTCTCTCTCCCTCAGATAAATACATAATCAGTGTGGACGTAGCCCAAACCTTGGGATGAACAACGATACATCTTGTGTGCATTTACTTTCATGCAGATTCACAGTTGGATTTACGTTGTTCCAATGCCTCCGGTTTTGTGTATCAACAACTTAACTTTAGGATTAATAGTTGGACTGATTCCTTAATTATAGTATTTGAACTAATCCGTTAATAACTTAAAACTCTTTCATAAGAATTATAGGTTGGGTGATTTTGGGGTGATTATGAGGGATGAGAAAATGATCCGAATGCCACACTTGGTTTCATTGGTGTTTATCTACCTGCATTATAGGATTTTTTTTTATATAGGAAACTTCATTTTAATTCTTAGCAAAGATGACTATAGACTAAAAACATAGTAAGATCAAAATCTTATTTTAGTCAATTAACACATTAATCACCTCATTTATTAATTATATTTTGATGTTTTAATTATTTATCTTTTTTCTTTCTAATTTTAATGTATTAATTATATTTCATTATAATTCTAATTTTTATTTCATTTATCATAATATATTTTGTTGTAAACATTAGATAAACTAAATTTTGTTATACAATATATTTCAATGTACTTTGTCTTCTTCATTAGGTACATTAAATTCATAATAGTACATTTTGATGCATACATTTAGGTGCACACATTTAGTTACACACATTTTGGTACATACATTTTAATACAAACATTTAGGTACATTAATTAAATATAATACATTTCGGTATTAAATTTTGGTACATTAATTCAATATAATACATTTTGATACTAACATTTCGATATTAATGTCACAGCCCGTTCCAAAATATTACATTCGTGGCTGTGAATGGACGAAATTGCCCTTAAGAAATACTAAGTATGTGAAGCTCAAGTTGATAATTATCTAGGTTCCTAAGTTTTGAAAATAAAATGGAATTTAATAAGGATGGAACTTAGATTTTTAGGTTAAAATTTTGTGGTTTAGAGTTGGGGATTGGAAAAGGACCACGTGGGATCCCCATTCCTTATTTCCCTCCCCATTTCCCGTATACTGTCCTTCATACTCTCTTTCTCTTCCTCAGACCTCACTCTCTCTCTCTCACCCTCTCGAACACACGGGCAACCATCAAAACCACCTAAAACTATTACCAACGCCGGATTTAAAACCACCATTGCACTCCTGAGGACTCCACGATCACGTAGGTACCAGTTTAAGGTAAGTTTCACTTCGAAAACCCTAGTTTCTAAAGTTGCCGTGAATGTGTACTGTTCATGAGCTTTGAATTGGTTGATTTTTAGGACAATCCAAGCTCATAGTGAGCTTAGTGAGGTCCAAGGAAGCTCGGAGTGCTTCGTTGGAAGGATTTGGACGTCGGGATCACGAGGGTTAAGTTTGGCCGGTTTTGCTTGGATTTTTCCGGTGAGATTTAGTTGTTTTTGAAGCTTAAAAGTAGTATATTGTGATTCTACATGTTGAGGGCTTTAAATTGATATATTATACGAAGAAAATGGTTGAGAAACGAAGGAGAACGAAGCATTTGAAAATTCCCCAGTTTTCCGGCCACCGGAAAAACCAGTCCGGCGAACCCGCGAGGAAGAAGGCGCGCGTGGACCCGTGCCTTCCTTGGCGCGTGGGGGCGCGTGCTACAGTAAAAAATTATTTTAAAAATATGTCGACGTCCGTGACGTCGAGTAGATCACTGTGGTATATTCATATACCCAAATTGAGCACCTTATGAGAAAGTTATTAAGGATTGTTGGTTAGGTGTTCGAATAACGTTTTATAGTTTTCGCATTAGGTGAAAATGTGAATTGATGATCCGACCGTTGGATCGTTACCAAACTTTAATACGTTGCAATACGTAATGTTTGAGGATTATTGGAACTTACGGATTGGGAATCCGAGTTACGGATCTTCCGGAATTGGAGTTGTAAGTTCATAAAATAAAATGTTAACCGTCACTTAGTTTTGGAAATTGACGGAGATCCGACCGTTGGATGGTAATGAAATTTTAGGATGTTATCCTAGAGATATATTGTGGACCTCTGGAAGTTATGGATTTAAAATCTGAGTGGTGGATCTTCCGGATTGAACTACGTAGTGACGTATTTTATATAAGTTATATATTCTATCGATATGAATTATGAGGTTGGAATTGATTATTGTTTTAGGCGCCGATCGTCATGACGCCTTGGCGTATTGTGCTAGGGAGTTGTAGGGCGAACTCCAGGTGAGTGGGCAGTTTTGTTTTCCGTATATATATATACTTGACGTTTTCCCAGAAATTGAAATTGAATGAAAAGTATATTGAAATGTGAATTGAGATGCCATGCATAAAAGTATATGAAAAGTATATAGAAATGTGAGAGTGGGCAGTTTTGTTTTCCGTATATATATATACTTGACGTTTTCCCAGAAATTGAAATTGAATGAAAAGTATATTGAAATGTGAATTGAGATGCCATGCATAAAAGTATATGAAAAGTATATAGAAATGTGAATCGAATTGCCATGCATGAAATGATATGAAAAGTATGAAATTGAGATATGATGCATACGAATGAATGGTGCGGCGGACGCACAGGTGAGTATCAGGTGAGTATTTAAATACTGATATGATGATGTTAATGTATATTGAGCTCAAATCCTGCACCATGGTTTAGTGCTTATAGTATTCACCGCATCGCACGCTCGCCTTGGATCCAAGTAGATGCTGGTCGCACAGTCCACGCGGAGTGGGTGCGACGGGCCAGTCGAAGAGTGTTAGTGAGATTTCGACTGGTGGGTGACCTTAGATTATGTGCACAGATGATTGATGAGAAAGCACTAGAGCGTAACTTGTGTGCAGAAGGCCGGACAGGTCACAGAGGTGACTCCGGCAGAGTGAGAGTGATAGATTTTGAGCTCTAGGTTCAACCGTACATGGCTATTAGAGGGCCTCCGGTTGATTACTTTCTTGCACCTGATATGATTATTGTTGATGCATCCATACTTAACTGTTGAATTAGACATGGCATGGCATGATTGATAAAGAAAAATGTTGAGATAGTAAAAATGAAGTTTGAGAATATATATGTATATTTATATTTTACATTTCTGGGAAAGTATACAGGTTTTACGGAGAGGGGTTACAACGTTTTGAGAAATGTTTGGATTTGGAAAAGAATTGTTTTACTGACCCACTCAATTTTGGTTTTGCGCCCCTCCAGGTTCAGGAATCACAAAGGTGTGGTGACTACGAGGAATTCGACGGTGTTCTGACAGATTGGACAAAATTAGGACTCACCTTCGGGTGTATCAACTTATAAATTGTATCTTAAAGCTTACGTACTGTGCAAATGGTCACGTCACTCTCACGTGACGGCCAGCATGCCCTCCTTCGGGACGGGGTGTGTCAATTAACATTTAGGTACCCTAATTGAGCCTTTCAAGTTTGAAGAATGCAAAACTAATAAATTTAAAAAATAAATTGGTCAAAAAATAAATTTAAATATGTATATTAATGAATTTAAATATTTAATGGGAGACATTGAATAAAAAACACATTAATTATTTTGAATTAAGGATACATCAATGGACTATAATCAATATGTAATCTAACATCAGGTTTTTATCAAATTTCAATCTTCTTGAAGGACTAAAGTTAAAAACCCCTCCTTTACTTATTTATTTATTTTTATCAATCTACCATATTATATACTCTATGTATTATAGATTAATAGTAATTTATCTACCTATATCACATGTTTATGATAATTTATCTCAAATTAAATGTTTATTAACTTGTACCAGAGGTTTTTGCTCATAGTTTGTAGAGTATATATACTTTCTAGCTATAAAGTATTTGCCTTCCTCCATCATAGGTATACATGAAGGTAGACAATACTTTAATTTATTTACCTATATAATAGGTTTTTGTTTATAATCTACCTCACATGTTTTTCTTCTTTATAATATACCTATATTATAGATCCTTAATTATATCAATATCACAGGTTCCTTACCTCCCACAATTTTTAATTTTTGATAAACTTATCATATTTGTAGTATATGAATTTTTAAAATATTTGTTATTAGGAAGTGGGTAGATAAAGCCTTATAAAAATTTAAATCGATTTTTATTTTTACTTTAAAGGACAAAATGGGTATAATACCAAATTCAATAAAACTGGACTTGATTTGAAACAGTCGATTTTTTTGGACTGGAATACAAGTTTACAGAAAGGGATCAGGATCCCCTCCATCAAATTCACCCAATCAATGAATTTGATTCCTTAAAATTTGATCTAAATGCTACAAATAAAGAACCTCTTTAAAAATTATAATAACATAAACTGTTAGATCAAATTTCAAAAATTCAAATTAGATGACTGAATGAATTTGGTGAAGAGATCCAGAGAGAATTATTTTCCTAATTTTACGTATTTTTTAAGGTAAATATTTATTAGTTTACTTTAGGACGTCTCTATCAAGTAGGTATCTCCGTAACCCGTACGCTCAGTCGCGCCTCCTTTTACTAAAATAGGTCGTGCTCCACCCCGTCCGAACCCATTCATACAAACACGCTCACACGTGTCATAATTCTTTCAGACACGCCGCCCGACACTACCGCCAGTCTCTCCCAGGTTCCCATCTAGATCCCAGATCTCAGATATAATCGACGGCTTCCCGCCCTCCACGTCATTGACTCCAATCCACTATTTAAATTCAACTTTTTATCCTTCTCTCCGTTGTTCCAGACACACAGAGAGCAAACAAATCCAACCAAAAAAACACGAGAAATTTGATTGGTCGTCGGCTGCTCCGAGATCTGACTCGCCGGACTGTCCACGCCGCAGATCTAGAGACTCCGACGTCGACGGTAAATAACCAAAATGTACGCCCCTTTCTATTTTTAGAAACTCAACCTTCCTCCAGATTAATTCAACCAAGTGAACCGTTTCGTCATTTCCATTGAATCTCAGCCCGCGTGGTATATTAAATCGGAAGCGAATCAGATCGACGGCGGGGATGGCGCCGAGCACGATCCGGAAAGCAATCGGAGCCGTCAAGGATCAGACGAGCATCGGCATCGCCAAGGTCGCCAGCAACCTGGCCCCGGACCTCGAGGTCGCGATCGTCAAAGCGACGTCGCACGAGGACGAGCCGGCCAGCGAGAAGCACGTCCGCGAGATACTGATGCTGACGTCATCGTCCAGGGGTTACGTCCACGCGTGCGTGTCGGCGGTGTCGAAGCGTCTGGGGAAGACGCGCGACTGGATCGTGGCGCTCAAGGCGTTGATGCTGGTCCACCGCCTCCTGAACGACGGCGACCCGGTGCTTGGGGACGAGATCGTGTACGCGACTCGGAGGGGGACCCACCTCCTGAACCTATCGGATTTCAGGGACGAGGCGCACTCGAGCTCGTGGGACCACTCTGCCTTTGTGAGGACTTATGCTCTGTACTTGGATCAGAGGCTCGAGCTGATGCTGTTCGAGAGGAAGAGCGGCGGCGGCGGCGGTCTTGGTGCGGGAG